GAAATCAGGAAGTGTGAGTCCTGCAACTTTGTTCTTTGTCGTGATTGTTTTGACTATTTGGGGTCCCTTGAGATTCCATATGAATTTTAAGATGAGTTTTTCTACTTCTGCAAAAAATATTGTTGGGATTTTGATAGGGATTACATTGAATCTGTAGATTGCATTGGGTAGTATTGACATCTTAACAATATTCAGTCTTCCAATCTATGAATACCGGATGTATTTCCATTTATTTATATCTTCTTTAATTTCTTTCAGCAATGTTTCGTAGTTTTCTTTTTTCCTTTTTTTTTTTTTTAAATGGAGAGGTTCTTTTTTTGTTTGTTTGTGAGGAAGATCAGCCCTGAGCTAACATCCATGCTAATCCTCCTCTTTTTTCTGAGGAAGACCTGCTCTGAGCTAACATCTATTGCTAATCCTCCTCCTTTTTTTCCCCCAAAGCCCCAGTAGATATTTGTATGTCATAGTTGCACATCGTTCTAGTTGCTGTACGTGAGACGCAGCCTCAGCGTGGCGGGAGAAGCAGTGCGTCAGTGCGCGCCCGGGATCTGAACCCCGGGCCGCTGGTAGTGGAGCGCGTGCACTTAACAGCTAAGCCATGGGGCCGGCCCTCGTAGTTTTTTTGTTTTGTTTTGTTTTTTGTGAGGAAGATCAGCCCTGAGCTATCATCCATGCTAATCCTCCTCTTTTTTTGCTGAGGAAGACCTGCTCTGAGCTAACATCTATTGCCAATCCTCCTCCTTTTTTTCCCCCAAAGCCCCAGTAGATAGTTGTACGTCATAGTTGTACATCCTTCTAGTTGCTGTATGTGGGACACGGCCTCAGCATGGCCAGAGAAGCCGTGCGTTGGTGCGCACCCGGGATCCGAACCCGGGCCGCCAGTAGTGGAATGTGCGCACTTAACCGCTAAGCCACGAGGCTGGCCTCACCTCATAGTTTTCATTGTACAAATCTTTCACCTCCTCAGTTAAGTTAATTCCTAAGTATTATTCTTTTTGATGCTATTGTCAATGGAATTGTTTTTATAATTTCCTTTTCAGATTGTTCATTTTTAATTTATAGAAATTAACTGATTTTGTGTGTTAACTTTGTATCCTGCTACTTTGCTGAATTCATTTATTAGTACTAACAGATTTTTGTGAAATCTTCAGGGTTTCCTACATATAAGACCATATAATCTGTGAACAGAGATAATTTTACTTCCTCTTTTCTGGTTTGGATATGTTTTATTTCTTTTTCTTGCGTATTGCTCTGGCTAGGACTTCCAGGACGATGTTGAGTAGAAGTGGTGAAAGTAGATATCTTACCTTGTTCCTGGTCTTAGAGGAAAAACTCTCAGTTTCATCACTGAGTTTGATGTTCACTGTGGATTTTTCATATATGGCTTTTATTATGTTGAGATGGTTTCTTTCTATTCTTAGTTTGTTCAGTGTTTTTACTGTGAAAGGGTGTTGAATTTTGTCAAATGGTTTTTCTGCATCAATTGAAATGATCATGTGAGTTTTTTTCCTTCATTCTGTTAATGTAGTGATTGTTTCTATTGTAGTCGATCGACTTTTGTATGTTGAGCCATCCTTGCATTCCAGGAATAAATCCCACTTGGTCATGGTGTATAATCCTTTTAATAGGCTACTGAATTCAGTTTGATAGTATTTGTCGAGCATTTTTGCAGCAATGTTCATAAGATATATTGGTCTGTAGTTTCCTTTTCTTGTAGTGTCTTCATCTACCTGTGGTATCAGGGTAATGCAGGCCTCATAAAATGAGTTAAGACGTGTTCCCTCCTCTTCAATTTTTTGTAAAAGTTTGAGAAGAAGTGGTACTAGTTCTTCTTTAAATGTTTGGTAGAATTCACCAGTGAAGCCATCAGGTCCAGGGCTTTTATTTGTCAGGATATTTTTGATTACTGATTCAATCTTCCTACTGGTTATAGGTCTATACCCACCCTCTTCTTTGTCTGCGCCCCTGTGATCAGAGCACAAATCTCTGTCATTTGGAGGACAGGATCCTTTTTGCCTTCCCTGGCTCCCACAGCCTGTATGCTGGTTGCTCCGGGCACATGTGCACAGCTGCCTGCCGCATGGCTGGGGTGGGGGAAGGGTATTTGCTACTGTGCTAAGAGCTGAAATTAACTGCAATTTACCTCCAAGCTTTCCTCTGAAACTCATAAGCCTTCAATAGACTCCAGAGTTCCAATCTGGTCAATAGACTCCAGAGTTCCAACTGCCAGTGCAGTTGTTGTCTAGATGGGGACACAGATTCCTGGTGCTTCCTGCTCTGCCACCTTCCCAGAATCCTCTTCATTAAGAGACATTGTTAAAGCTCAAAAATAATCTAAGTCACATACCAGGTTTTGAGATAGGTAGCTAGGTAGACATGAGCGGGGGAATCACAGCTGGAGACCTCGCTACATCAAAGAAGTGTCTTGCTGGCATCCCACAAGACACAGATAAAGGGGAACTAAGACTCACCTGGCGCCGCCACCAGAGTCTGAGACCTTCAACCAGGATGATAAAAATAACAAGAGCACAAACAGCACATACAAAGCCTTCTGCTCTACACCTCTAGAGGACACTGACCTTTGTTTAATTTACATACAAATTCCATATGCATTAGCCCCCCTTCCACGGGGGATGACTGCCATGACAGTTCCAGAGATTCCCCTAGAAGGTCAAGAACCCCGCCTCCCTATATGTGGGTGGAGGAAGAACCATTATAGGCCGATAACCAGATGATGCTAACTCCCTTCTATGCAGCCCAAATAAAAATAAACTAACCCAAGACACGGCAGATGCATTCTCTGGCGCTGCCCGCTCCTCACTTGGAGTGTATCTGACCTTCCCTCTAATAAAGCTTGCTTGCTTGCTGTTACCTTTGTATTCGTGTCTGAATTCCTCTCACGCTGACCAAGAACGTGGGCGATCGGACTCTTCAGTCCGGTTACATCTTTTGGATCGGGAAATTATCATAAAGATGGTTGTGATACAATTGGATTCAAAGTTTCAACAGAGTTTTTGTTTCTTAGAAACATGACTGCCTAATTCTAAAATTTATACGGAAGAGGAAATGGCCAATGTTTGCAAAGATTCCTGATATCAAAGAGCAATGTACAGTCATGTCCTACCAGACAGATATCAAGGCTTGTAATAAAATTGTAATAGTTAAAACAATACTGTATCAGTTCAGAAATAAGCAATTAAACAAACAAAACAGAATAAAGAGTCCAGAAAAATGTCCAAGAATACACGGAAATCAGTATATGCCAGGAGTCACGTTGCAGATCTGTGGGGAAATGTGGACAATGCTTATCCATATGGAAGATAAGAAATTGATTACCATCTCAACTTAGACACAAAAGATCAATTAAAAGTGGATCCAGAACTTAATTGTCCAAGGGAAAAATTTTAAACTTTTAGGTGAAATATAGAAGATTTAAAAAATTTTTTGGGTTATGAAATAATTTCTTAAACAAAGTACAAAAGTATAAATCATAAAGCAAACTATTGAATAATTTGCTGTATTAAAATTAAAAACCATTTTTCAAAAGACACCATAAAGCCACAAACTAGGACAAGATATTGCAATATGTGTGACTAACAACAGACTTGTAAAGAATTTATACAAATCCATAAGAAAAACAATACAGGGGCTGGCCCCGTGGCGTAGCGGTTAAGTGCGTGCGCTCCGCTGCTTGCGGCCGGGGTTCAGATCCCAGGCGCGCACCGACCCACCGCTTGTCAGGCCATGCTGAGGCCGCGTCCCATATAAAGTGGAGGAAGATGGGCACGGATGTTAGCCCAGGGCCAGTCTTCCTCGGCAAAAAGAGGAGGATTGGCATGGATGTTAGCTCAGGGCTGATCTTCCTCACAAAAAAAAAAAAGAAAGAAAGAAAGAAAGAAAAACAATACAAAACAGACAAAACTGTAGAACAGGCATTTCACAAAAGAAGAAATCCAAATGACAAACCAAAGCAAAAAAAGGGGGTTTAATCTCATTAGTAGTCAGAGAAATTCAAATTAAAACAATGTGATACCATTTCACACCCATTAACTTGGCAAAACTTAGAAAGTGTGACGGGATTCAGAGCAGCGGGACTGCTGACTAGAGTGCAAACTGGTCGAGTCACTTTGGAAGATGATTTGGAACTGCCTAGTAGAGTTGATTAAACTCATGCGGTGAAAGCTAGCAATTTCTCTCCTAGAACTAGACTCTACAAAAAAGTTTTGAATATATCCACTAGAACATAGGTTCAAGAGTGTTCATAACAATATTGTAAATAATAGCAGCAAGGGAAAAACAAGAGGGAGCGACATCATCAACATGGCAGAATAAGAGTTTTCTACCATCTTCTCTGCAAAAATGCCAGTTGAGACAACCATCCAGGGATGAGAGAGCCTTTGTGGAAGTGAGGGTGTCCGGTGGAGCCGTTCCAGGACACCATTGGAGCAAAAAAGAATCCAAGACTGGATGCATTGAAAAGGGCGAGAGGAACAGTTTCTAGGATCTAATGCACAGCATGTTGACTATAGTGAACAACACTGTATTATATGCTTGACAGTTGCTAAGAGAGTAGATCTGAAATGTTCTCACCACAAAAAAGAAATAGTAATTATGCGACATGATGGAGACGTTAGCTAACGCTACAGTGATACTCATTTTACAATATGTAAGTGCATCAAATCAACACATGTACACCTTAAACTTACACAATACCATATATCAATTATATCTAAATAAAGCTGGAAAAAATAAAAATAAAGTAAGCTTGGGGATTGTTAAAAATATATGTATATACTCTGGAAATACTATGGAAAACCATGAAGAAAACAAGGAGGTGAGTGTAAAATTCAGAGTTGGCACCCTCAGAGGAGGACCTTCGGGCTTCAGAATTTATGATGTTTGTTCATTACTTACGCTGCAAGGCGGGCACACAAGTGTTGAGTATACATTTATTAGGTACATTCTTTTGTGTGTAGGATACATTGAAAGAAAAAAGTTTCAAAAAAATTTACATTGTCATAGTATTCTCATAGACAATGACACTGGATTTATTGCTCAGAAGGTCATTGCCATCCACCACAGGGGCTGTGTTCCTGGGTGGGGCATTGATAGCCAACAGGTGCTACTGGTGCTCACAATTGGGCTGACTCCGCCTCCCCCCAGAGCTTCTCTGAGGCCTGTTCACCCAGAGGACAGCACTGAGCATGCTCAGGAGCAGGGGCACTTCCAGGAAGACCAGGAGCAGGAAGTGGACACTGCTGAGCAGGGACCTGTGGGGGACACGGTGACAGACAGTGAGCCACATCCTCAGGGGAGGCTCTGGTGCCCTCTACATTCCCCCTGTCCTTGTGCCCAGGTCCTGTGGCCACACAATCCACATAAAGCTCAACCCTGGACAGAGCAGCCCCACTCAAAAGACCACTGCCCCTGACTCCGTGCCTAACAATTGCTCTTGAAAATTATGACTGTGACATAAGGAAGGTCACAGCCATTAGAATGATGTGAGGGAGACCCAGGGATCCAGGCGGGACCTGGGCCCAGAAGAAAGATTTCTCCCTAAGCCCTCCACGTTTGGGGGTTACCTCGTCTGTGGTATAGTGGTCAACAACAAGGTTATTCGTCTGATGTCTGCTCTCCTGTAAACAGCATTTCCCATGAGGGAAGGGACTGTTTGTTTTATTGACAGTGAGCAACCAGTACCTGCCCAGTGCCTCCAAAATGTCCACCCTTGAAAGTCAGTGGTAGTGATGGAATGAACGAATGACCCACCTCAGCTCTCACCTCCCTTGGAGGTCAGGGTTCTTCACAGGATGACACTTCTGACCAGGACTTGGGGGGAGGTAGGGGACAGAGTGCAGGGGCCACCAACCCCCGGAGCATCTGCTTCCTGCCCTGGCCTGGGCCGGGGTCCTGTGGGCTCCTTTTGCAGGACATTTGCACTGGCTCTTCCCTCTGCCTGGACCCCTATTTCTGCAGATGCCTGCGTGCTCAGCTCCCCAAATCCTGCAGGTCTCCACTCAAATGTCTTCAAACCAGCGAGGCCTCCCTGATCATTGTGTAATAAACCGCATCACCCTCCCACACAACCCATGTGGCATATTTTCTCCAAGCGTTCACCACGAACTGGCATATTTGTGTTGACTATGGGTTGATTTGTTGTGTGAATCCCCCCTTAGAACATGACTTCTGTCAGAGCAGTACTGGGTCTGTGTGGTTCGCTGCTGTATCCACAGAAGAGCGCCTGGCACTTAGTAGGACTTGTGTGGTGTCACCTGTGTGGCTCTGACTCACACAATTAGGTGTGGAGTTGGTAAATAAACGAGGGACCTGGGAGAAGGGAGGCACGAACCCCTCTACCTGCCCCCTCGCCTAGAGGAGAAGTCACCCAGGTGTCAAAGGCCTGGGACGCAGGCCCCTTACCAATGGTGTTGGCTGGGATCTAGGGTTTCCTGCCTTGTCGTGCTGGACCAGGAGGGTGCTGGCAGGGTCATGGGAGGACCTGGGGTGCTTGTGAAGATCTTCGGGCTGAGGACTGCCATGGGGGTAACGGAGAAGCATGCATTGGGCCCGGTGTTCTCCCACTCTCGGTTCTCCCACTCTCCGTCACCTGTGGGGCTCTGACTCACACAGTTGAGGTCACTCATACTATGTAGACAGATGGTCTGGATCCAATGTCCCCCATGGCCACACCAGGACCTGACGAGGACCCTGGGCCCCTCTGCAGCCCCCTCTCCAAGTGCTCCCTGGCCATGTGGGCTCTTCCAGATGCCAGGTCATGCTGCACACCAGGGGATTTGGGAGTCTGTGGAGAGCACTTGACTCCAGGTCACACTCCAGCCACAGCCACACCTTTGTCCTCCCTGTCCACCCTGTCAGGGGACAGATTGGTGACATTACTCTGTAGAGATTGATCCAGAGCGATGGCAGAGACAAGGCCCTGGGGCATGGCTGATGGCTGGAGTGAGGCTCAAAGAAACAAGGACGTGCAGCAGAGTCTGCATGAATGAAGGGACCCCACATCGCTCAGGGCACTCACCCCCAAACTGTCAGCCGGGCCTATGGCCCCAGGTGGCCACTGGACAGCCCTCTCTGGGGCAGGGAATGACCAGAAAGAAAGATCTAGAGAGACATGCACCTGGATGATCCTATAAAATGTGGCCTGTGTGGAAGCCAACTGGAAAAGCGCCTTTCCCTCACACACCCACCAGTTCCAGTGGATTTTCAGTTCCTCATCTTAAATAGGAACCCACAAACGGCATCTGAGAGAAACTTCTCCTATGAGGGAAACCAAGACCAACTGGAAGGCACTCAGAGGTACCTTGTCTCAGAGAGACAAGGTTGGAATAAGAACCCAAGGAAAAACCACAGACTCAGAGAAGGATCTCCATCTGGTCCTTAGGAAACAAGAACAGGGCTTTGTTAAAGAAGAATTGTAGTACATCTGGGGCCATAACACCCAAGACCCAATTATCTCATCCTTCTTCTCCTTTGCTAAGGGGAGCAATTTCAGGGGTTTCTCTAGGGCTTCAGGGATTCCCTCTGTGGGTACAAAGTGCTATAGAAAGGGGTCAGGATCAGCCTGGATGGACAGAGTGGTGCCCAATGTTCCTCTGAGAAGGGCCACTCAGAGACAAACAGCCTAGAAAACACAGCCGAGTCCTGGTTCCTCACTAGATGGGCCTGGGACACAGGTACCCTGAGGTGCGGGTCCCTCGAGGGCCCTCGGGGTCTGGGGCTCTTTCTCGGGCCCCTCTCATGGCTGCTGCAGACCCCCAGGACCACGGCTGTGATGCTGGTGCCTCAGGAACCAGCCACGACACAGTGATGTCCTCTTAGGGCGCAGGGGCATGGGCAGCCTGTGAGTGAGAGGAGCAGATGCCCTAGCAGTCCTGTTCATAGGGAGGAATGACAGAGGTGCAAAAGAGACACGGGGTCCCCTCCAGAGTGGCCACGGCCCTTGTGAGGACAGGCAGGCAGCTTGTCCCCAGACTCAGGGCAGTTTCCCCTCCCCCTCCCAGGAAAGCTTCAGGCCTGAGAGGGTGTCAGGGTGCAGCACACAGAAGGGTCTAGAACAGCCAGAGGTGAGCATGTGCTTGTGTGCCTGTGCAGACAACACAACACACACACACACATAATTACACACATATGCACACATAGACACGTGCACACTCACACGTATGCATGCACACACCTTGTGTACCAAGTCCCTGACACTCAACCTTGCCCAGCTCTTCTATCCAATGTCCCACGTCTTTCCTGAGGGTCGGCATGACCAGCCCCAGACTCGGGCAGCCCTGGTGCTGGTGCGAGGTGGGGAGTCCTCACCTGGGAACACAGACACAACGACCTGGAAGACGGGGTCACGTAAAACTCCTTGCAGCCACGATGCATCGATCCCACACCAGTATGTGCCTTCATCATCTTCTGTGACTCTCTCCAAGGTCACTGTGAAGGTGAGGTTTGCAGGATGGTCCCTGATGGACACGTGGCCGCTCCTCTCTTCTCTCTCTGACTCTGTGGTCTCCACAATCTTCTCCCTCCACAGTAACGAACGTGAGCTTTTGCACCAGTATTTTCTTATTTTCTGTGTATTCCTTCTCGTACCGACACTGCAAGCTCAGGGATCCCCCCACGGTGCCCGTCACGGTGCTGGGGCCCCTCAGAGACAAAGAGCCTGGAAAACACAGCCGAGTCCCAGCTCCTCGCCAGATGGGCCTGGGTCCGGGGTGCCCTGGGGTGCGGGACCCTCAAGGGCCCTTGTGGTCTGGAGGAGGCCGCGGCAGGAGACTGGCCTTCCTCAGAGCCAGGAGAGGGGAAGAGGGGGGGACTAGCTCCCTCCTCACAGAGGTGGCACAGGGATAGGGTGCCCATGGAGAGAAGAAGGGCCAGGGTGGGAAAAAAATGCCTGTGCGTATGCGTGTGCGTGTGTGAGTATGTGTGTACATGCATGTGTGTGTGTTTGTGTGATGTGCCAAGACGTCACTCCTGACTGTGACAATTAAGGTAGTGACAATCACAGACACCCCCCTCGCTAATGCTACTCTGTCCGGCGCAGTGGATGAGACTCACCTGCTTTATGCACTGAATCCTCGCGGTCACTGCTGAGGCAGGTGCTGGCTGCTCCTGGAAGCTTCTCTGCCTCTCCCTCCTCCATCCCACGTTCCCCTTCCCTCCCCTTGGGCGGTTCCTCCACCCCCCTTCATCCCGCTCTTCCTCTGCCCCACTCAGGGCAGACTTCCTTGCCCAGGCCCAGCCCCTCACCTGGGACAAGGAGGAGGAGCAGAGCTGAAGGCAGCCATGCTGCCCCACCCTTCGGGGTCATTTCTCCAGCACAGACGTCACCTGCAGCAGCGCCAGCCCCTTGGTGGGACAAGGTTGAGCTTCCTCACATGGGATCCAATCTCTGCGTCTCCACTTCTGCCTTTCTGCTTCCTCGTCCAGCCCCGAGCCAGGTCTGATGCTGCAGCGGGTCAGGGTGCAGGAAGCGCAGGGAGAGAAGCCGCGTGGGCGGTGCAGACCCCCCGGGCCCAGTGCCCTTGGCTTCTCCCCATCCCAGTGACCAGACAGGGCCAGGCCAGGCCCTGGACTTGGTTAGGGATGCTGCTCCTCCGCACAACCCACAGCTGCCCCTCCGCACAGCCCACAGCTGCCCCTCTCCTCTCACTGTTCCACACGCTCCCACACAGCAGAGCCAAGCTGGGGCACCTCCTCCTCAGTGGGGCGTCCCCGCCTCTGTGATATATCACTTCCTTGTGGTCAAGATGGACAATTCTGGAGGTGGAGACCAGATCCATCCATCCTCTCTGGCCTTGGTGGTGACCAAAGAGGTATTTTGACACCCTCAACCTGCAGCTCCAGGCATCCATGGAGAGCTCTGCCCCCATGGGACCCCTAGCTTTACTTCTGGCCACCCACCTTGGCCCTATGACCTCAGATGCTTTCAAAGGTCCCAACTTGGTTCTGGGTTCCTAACCAGGGCACAGATTCCACAGGCTGCAGCTTCCTTCCTCGTGCACTTCCCTGTTCCCCAACATAGCCGTGGAGCAGCCGTCTCCAACACTCTGCAGGGACTTCACTTTTTACTCTTCTTTTGAAAGTTCACTCCACTGTGAAGTTCAGGACAGAGTACCGAGAACGGGCAAGGGGAGTTCAGAGGGTGAAGGTGCTGACAAGAAGTTGAGGAGCATGTGAAGCTGAGACTGATCCCTCCTCTCCATCCAATGGCACAGAGAGGGTGGTCATATAACAAGAGGGCAGTCTCCCCAAAGGCACTGGCAGTTGGTGTCTCTTTTGGGTTCACAGTGATGAGCAGGGGCCTCTTCAAGGTGCAGAGATGGGCGTGGTCCTTCCCAGGAGGTGGGGAGGCAGATCTGTCCTAACTCAGAGTGGCTTGTTCTCACGACAGTGGGTTTAGGGTCCGTTCACCCTGGAAATGGTAGCGAGGCAGGTCAAGGTGCAGGGCCTACTTAGCATCTCACCCAGTTATGCCAGTTTCTCAATCTTGCCATGCACAAACCAGTCTATCGATTTCCCCCAAACACTCTCTCCCCAGATCTGTTCCTCTCCCACACTATCTTATCATGGTCAAAGGCGATGATATTCCCAGAATTGTTGCAGCTCAACGCTGTAATCCAGATTCCTCTCTCCTCCACTCCCCCTCAATCCTGACTCTAACTCTCTAATCTGCCATCTCCCTCCTTTTCCCCTGACGTTACAAAAAAGTCCTCTCTCCCCTCAACACTACGGCGACATCCCTCTTCCTCCCAACCCCCTCATGCCCTTCCCCCCCCTTCTCCCCACTCATCAGGAAGGGAGAGTTCTAACAGACATCAGTAGTCATCAGTGTCACTCCTCACTCCATGCCCTTCAAACGAAACCAGCTCTCTCTAGTTGGCCTGCGCGGCCTGAGTGGACCAGCCCACTGCTTGCTTCTGTAGTGTCATCTCGCTCCCCGCACCCCAGTATGGCCCTATGTTCCAGCCACAGCGCTTGACCCTCCCCAGGCCTTAGCCCCTGCTGCTCCCTCCCCCTGGATCCCTCCCCCACTCTCCTCACTGCCTGCTCCTTTTTGTCCTTTCGGTTTCACCTTGGATGTCACCTCCTCAGAAAGGCCTCCCTGATCACCCTTCCTAGGGGTCACCCTGCTTGTCTTGATCACTGATCCCTGTTTATTTTCTCCATAGTTCACCAAACATTGTTATTATATTTTCCTTTGGTGGTTGCTATCCGTCTCCCCCTCTAGGATATAGCTGATATCATAGTGGCATTTCGGGTCTGTTTTATTCATCAGGGGATGACCCAGTGCCCAACTGCACTATGTGACCAATGGTCAGCTTATGATAAATATTTGCTGAATGAGTGAATGAGTGATTGAGTGAATAAATAAAGATTGAATTGGCCACAGACTGGCCCTAGACAAGTGTGGTCCGACTATATTAGAGATCTATCGCTGCATAACAAATTCCCCCAAAATTTAGTGGTTGAAAACAGTGAACATTTATTATCTCACACTTCCTGAGAGTCATGAATCTGAGCTTGGCTTATCTGGGTGGTTCTGGCTCAGGGTGTCTCCTTTATGAAGTTGCAGTCAAGATGTCAGCCAGGGCTGCACTCATCCGAAGGTTGGACTGGAGCTGAAGGATCAGCTTCCAAGATGGCGCACTCACATGGCTGTAAGCAGGAGGCCTCAGCTCCTTGCTCAAGAGAGCTGCTTGGTGTCTTCATGACATGGCAACTAGCTTTTCCCAGAATGAGTGATCCAAGAGAGAGTAAGGCACAATATCTTTTGTGAAGCATCTTTGGAAGTCGTATATCATTGCTTCTGCCACATCTATGGATCCCATAGACCCATCCTGACACAATGTGGAAGGGGCCTACACAAGGGCATGAATATCTGATCTGGGTACTGGCTACGCAAGGATATTCAATTCCTAAAATTTCACTGAGCTGTTTATTTATGATTTGTATAATTTTCTGCTTGTATGTTATACCTTAATAAAAGAATTTAAAAAACAAAAACCAAAACATGAAATCATACCTCTGAAAGTTTGCTTGATTTCCTTTTTTTTGGTTATTATTTATTGGTCTTTTTTCACATAGCAAAGAGCTTATGTATATTAATCTCTCCTCCTCCCAACTACCTTGCCAACAGATCAGAGAGTAAACAAACTTACCAGAAACAGATTGTAAGTGATGGTGTCAGGATTGCAACCCGGATTTCTCTGGCATGACCGCCCACATGTCTTTCCACCTTCCCATGACTCTGAAGGGGAGAGAGTAGCCAAGGGCCTGCAACCGGCTGAAGCGCAGCCTTCAGACCCACAAGACAGAATGAGAGGTTTGCTAGGCAGTTGGTAGCCATGGTAACCCAAATTGAGAAATGCGACAGTGAGTGACTATTTCCCGTCTTCTCTGCCTCCACTCTCTCTCCCTTTTCTTTCACTTCCCCAGAGCATCTTCCTTTTCAGAAAACACTTCTTGAACTAAAAATAGTTTCTGCCAGCTCCTGGCTGTGCTAATAGGTTGGAACATCCAACAGGGGGACAACGCAAAAACAACAGTAATTTGAGAATACGCATTTGGCTTTAGGTTTGAGTGTGTGTTGTGATGGCTAATTTTATGTGTCAGTTGACTGGTCACAGGCTACCCAGATTAAACACTATTTCTTGGAGTGTTTGTGAGGGTGTTTCCAGATGCGATTAGCATTTGAATGGGTGGACTCAGTAAAGTAGATCGCCTTCCCCAATGTGGGTGGGCATCATCAAATCCATGGAGGGCCTGAATAGAACACAGGTGACGGGTGACAGGCGAGGAAGGAAGAACTCGCTCCTTCCTGCCTGATTGCCCCAGCTGGGACATTGATCTTCCTGCCCCTGGCACCTCTGGTTCTTAGACCTTCAAGCTTGGACTGAGTTATACCATCAGCTTTCTTGAGTCTCCAGCTTACAGACAGCAGATGGTGGTATTCTGCAGCCTCCATAGTTTTATGAGTCAATTTCTTATAATAAATCCCTTCATATACATATATTTCCTACTGGTTCTGTTTCTCTAGAAAACCTTGACTAACACACACATGTGTTTGATCCTGTGGGAATTTAATTCTTCAATTCTCAAGCCTGCACATGAGGACCTAACTCAGGAAGGTCCATGTGAAGACTCAACATAGGAAGACCCCAAATCTGACCAGCTCACCTGTCGTCCCAAAGACATTTCCCAGAGATGATGAAATGTTTGTGTTTCAAGGGGCTGCTATAGAGAAAGTAGAGTAAAAGCCCTAAGAAGTCAACAGGCTGAGCATGAAATAGCGTGGGAACCATCCGCGGAGTGAATTAGGTCTCTCTTTCGGAAAAAATAATTAAGCCAAGATAAAGTTAAAGCCAAATGTTATTGCCTTTCTTGGGGTGGAATCAGAATTATCTGCTTTATTTCTCTCTGGCTTCCAGGGTCTCTCTGAGGTCCAGAGATGCATGGGCCACTTTTATTTTTAGAAGGTCTCAGCCAGCATTGAAAAAAGAAAGATGTCAAAATAGGATTACAAAAATCATGGTATATTTTAAATGTGTAAAGTTCACAAATCAACTTTTTGATGCACAAATTACCGTAAAGCATAATTATTTGGGTTATAAAAATGATTATTGGGTTGGGGCTGGCCCAGTGGTGTAGTGGTTAAGTTCGCACACTCTGCTTCAGCGGCCTGGGGTTCTCGGGTTCAGATCCCAGGTGTGGACCTACACAGTGCTCGTCAAGCCATACTGTGGTGGCGTCCCACGTACGAGATAGAGGAAGATGGGCACAGATGTTAGCTCAAGGACAATCTTCCTCACCAAAAAGAAAGAAAGAAAGAAAAGATTATTGTGTTAAAAATTTAATTTACTGATGGTTTGGCAGGAATAAAACACACATGCAAACACATAGGATAACCATTTCTGTCAATGCAGCCCTGTGGTTGTATAGATAATTTGATTTAGAGATAACGTTAAAGACTAATTTTGAGGCCCTTTGTGGGATGCTAGGCCAGGGCCAAATTGCAGGTCCCTCCCGCCAGCCCCTCCCACCCACCCGTCTCTCTTGGCCCCTGCACCTCTGTCTCCTTGCTTCTCATCCTCACAGCTGCCTTCAGACCTTTCCTGGCACTGATCATTAGTCCTTCAAAGAGCTGCTTCCCTTGTTCATGGGCAATAAGAGGAAGTATTGGCCGTTGTTACCACACCAAGTCGCAAGCTAGCTGAACATGTTCAGTAAGGGGCAGTGGGAGGTACGGAGTCTCTCCTAGGGAGTGAGAAATCCAGAAGAGCAGTGTGGCTGCTGCTTCTCAATAAGGCTGAAGCCTTGGGCTGGAGAAAGATGTGTCTTCCTCATTCCCGCCTTGCTCTATCCTGTCCCCTGGGCATGGGTCTTTAGGGCCTT